AGTATATATTGTATGTTATGTATATATATTACCTTATATATTTTCTTGTAGTATATATTGTGTGTTATGTATATACATTACCTTATATATATTACCTTAGGCCCGGTAAGACCGGGCCAGGCCCGCCAGCCGGTCCCGGGCTTAGCGGTCCCGGGCTCAAGGGTTTTTTTACCATACCCGGCTCGCCACGGGCTTTTTGCACCATTAAGGCCCGGCCCACCAGGCCCGTTTAGCCCGTTAGGACCGCGGGCCCGGTCCGATCCCGATCCCAGCCCGGCCCACCGTACATCATTAGTTCAAATACATTCTTCATTTCATTTCTTTTGCTTTTTAGTTTGAAAACAAATGTCAATGTATCTTGGCATGACCCTTCCAAGTGTAGTACTTAGTATAAATTTTTGTAATTGACTTTACAGGAATTATGTCTACAAGACTAATTTCTACAATAATATATAACTTACCTAGTGTTAGCCCCTTGACAAAGGTCCTCGGCAGGTGTGGGTTGTGACAAGGATTTTCATGATGGTCTTGGCACACAACCTGAAAATTGGGCAACATCATGATGGGCTGCTCGGCATGACAGACAATGCGGGGTTCGACAAATGCACCTTGAACGGAAGCAAGGCGCATTTTACTTGGATGTGCGGGTTGGCAAAACAATGGCAAGGCAAAGCCATGTCAAGCAGGGGCAAAGACATGGCAAGGCAAGGCAAGGCGGGACAAGCAATGGCAAATGATGCGGGCAGATTTAATCAAGTTGGGGGCGACTTGATATGAGCGGGCAACTGTGACAATGAACGTGTGCGGCTAAGTCAGCGGGCGGCGAGATGTGGCAATGACATTGGCGCGGAGCAGTGTCAAAGGCAAGGTTGGGCGCAATGCCAACCTTGGCACAAAGCAGCTGGGCGAAAATCAGGCACATGCTGTGCACAAGCAGCAGTTGGAAAACATGTGCAAAGCACATGGGAAGCAGTTGGCAGTTGCAACCTCTTCCAAGACATGCTGATCATGGCCTAAAAATGTGCCCACGTTTTTGTATTTTGTCTTAACTTGTTTGCCCATCAGTTGGGGCTTGTCAACTGATTTTAGCCTTATAAATACTTGCATAGGTTGTCCAAAACAGGGCAGAAACTTAGTCTAAGGCATTGTGTAGCCAAAAATTCGTCTGAGTCATTTCCTAAGGGTGGGAAAATCATTTTGGGCAGGGAATTAGGGAATTATTTGTCTTGGCCATAGGGTTGGCTATTGTGTTCTTGTATTCACATATTAATACGAGTTGGGAAGAAATTCCTGTATATCGTGTGTGCCTTTATTTACTGTTTTTGCTGCCTATTTTCATTCTTAGTGCAAACGTCCCTAAAAATAAAACTAAGTGTTGGAAAGGCTGAAGTCAAGGCTGGGCTTGATTGCCGCACGGAGGTGAACCTCGGGCAAAATTTGAGTGACATAAATCACCCTTATGACAACTGGTATCAGAGCGTGGCTGGATCGGGGCGAAGACACAACGTTCAGTGGTTGAATTTTGTGAAGAATGGCTGGTGGCAACGCAGAACTGAGGGAAAAGGTTGCTGCATTAGAGGCACTCGTCGGAACTATTGATGGGGATCAATTTCTGACTATCGTGACTCGTCTCGCCTATCTTGAGGCCGAGATGAATAGGCTGAGCCAGGAGTGCACAAATCTGAAAACGGAAAATGGGTTGCTACGTCGTGCTGTTGGAAATGATGAAGCACAACGTGGGGCAGATCGTACCAAGGTTAGAATTCCGGAGCCTAAAGAGTTTAATGGCGCAAGGAGTGCCAAGAAACTCGAAAATTTCCTGTGGGATATAGAATAGTACTTCCATGCTGTCAAAGTGCAAGATGAAGACAAGGTCGCCATTACGACTATGTACTTAGTGGACGATGCAAAGCTTTGGTGGCGTACGCGCGTGGCAGATGATATAAGTGCCGGTAGGTCGAAGATTGACTCTTGGGAAGGGCTGAAGAAAGAATTGAAAAATCAATTCTTTCCTAGCAATGCGGGCTGGATTGCTAGAAATCGTTTGAAGAAGTTGAAACAAACTGGAATGGTCAGGGATTATGTCAAAGATTTCAGTTCTTTGATGCTGGATATTAGCAACATGTCTGAGGAAGACAAGCTGCATAATTTACTTTACGGGTTGCAGTCGTGGGCACAAATGGAACTACGAAGGCAGAATGTGAAAGACATTCCTAGTGCCATTTCCGCTGCGGATGCGTTGGGTGATTTTCGGTTGAGACAAGATGGTTTTGATTTCTCTACTACTTCAAAGTCCAGAAACGAGAACAAGGACAAGACAAAAGAGTGGAGAAAAACGGAAACGACAAGGGCAATGCTGTTGAGGGCAATGGCAATGAGAAGGGAAAACAATGTGCTGGACCTTCGACAAACAAGGGACACAACAACAAGTTTGATGGCTGTTTTATTTGCAAAGGACCACACATAGCGAGGGGATGTCCAAGAATTTAACGGCTTTCAGCGTTGTTTGCTGAAGAAAAGAATGAAGATAAGCCAAACGAGGAAGAACATGAGCAAGCAACAACATATTTAGGGCCTATGGTGGTGCTAAAAAATGCGGAAGCTGCTTCGTCGAGGACGACGAATTCTTCTGGTGGGGGTGGTTTGTTAGCCCCTTGACAAAGGTCCTCGGCAGGTGTGGGTTGTGACAAGGATTTTCATGATGGCCTTGGCACACAACCTGAAAATTGGGCAACATCATGATGTGCTGCTCGACATGACAGACAATGCGGGGTTCGACAAACTCACCTTGAATGGAAGCAAGGCGCATTTTACTTGGATGTGTGGATTGGCAAATCAATGGCAAGGAAAAGCCATGTCAAGCAGGGGCAAAGACATGGCAAGGCAAGGCGGGACAAACAATGGCAAATGATGCAGGCAAATTTAATCAAGTTGGGGGCGACTGATATGAGCGGGCAGCTGTGACAATGAACGTGTGCGGATAAGTCAGCGGGCGATGAGCTGTGGCAATGACATTGGCGCAGAGTAGTGTCAAAGGAAAGGTTGGGCGCAATGCCAGCCTTGGCACAAAGCAGCTGGGCGAAAATCAGGCAAATGCTGTGCACAAGCAACATTTGGAAAACATGTGCAAAGCACATGAGAAGCAGTTGGCAGTTGCAACCTCTTCCAAGACATGCTGATCATAACCTAAAAATGTGCCCACGTTTTTGTACTTTGTCTTAACTTGTTTGCCCATCAGTTGGGGCTTGTCAACTGATTGTAGCTTTATAAATACTTGCCTAGGTTGTCCAAAACGGGGCAGAAACTTAGTCTAAGGCATTGGGTAGCCAAAAATTCGTCTAAGTCATTTCCTAAGGGTGGGAAAATCATTTTGGGCAGGGAATTAGGGAATTCTTTGTCTTGTCCATAGGGTTGACTATTGTGTTCTTGTATTCACATATTAATACGAGTTGGGAAGAAATTCCTATATATCGTGTGTGCATTTATTTACTGTTTTTGCTGCCTATTTTCATTCTAAGTGCAAACGTCCCTAAACATAAAACTAAGTGTTAGAAAGGCTGAAGTCAAGGCTGGGCTTGACTGCCGCACGGAGGTGAACCCCACGCAAAATTCGAGTGACATAAATCACCCGTGTTACACCTAGTACTTAGTATACTAGAGTGTAGCTTTTGATTTCAACTTATGCCTCTTAATTCTGATTAGAAGGTATCCGTAATTGCTATATATGACTTAAGAATCCTTCTCAGTCTATCAGAAACGACCCCTCTACTTTCACAAGGCAGGAATAAGGTTTGCGTACACATATACCCTCCCCAAACCCCATTTGTGATACTACACTGGGTTTGTTGTTGTTGTTGTTGTTGTTGTTGTTGTTGTTGTTGTTGTTGTTGTTGTTTGACTTAGGAATCCTTCCCGGTGTTCCTCCTTATTTTGTAACTTCTGATTGATCAAGAATGAATAACTCAACATTTACATGTTGCTATGCTGACAGTTGTTGAGTTTCTTTTTAATATAGAAAGGTATTAAAAAGAGGGTGCATGGGAAATGGAGGGAAATGAAAATTTTGTGTAAAATTTTAAGTTTCCCTCTCATTTTAATGAGACATTGTCCATCATTGGTAGAGGAAAAGGAGTTTGGTGGGTTTATATACAAATGCACTTCATGTAGCTCTTAAAGAGTTAGGAAGAAGGCAAGCCTCGCGCCGTCGTCGTTGCTCGCTCGCTCGGCTCGGCTTCGACTTAGGATTTGGATTTGGTCAAGTGATCGATTGATTGATTAATTTTTTGGACCAAATTTATTTGTTAATAGTAAATATTAACGTAATAATATCCGTGTTTGTAACGGATATGTTCCAATCCGTGGATTTATGCGTCTCCCACCATTGCCAAATGCTTGCTCCATAATAACAAGTGATTGCTCCATTAGTTAGTAGCCTGGTGCTCCGTCCACCATGGCCAAGTGCTCCACTAAATGAGTGGAAGCGGGTCCGTGTTTAGCAGCTAACTGCACTATAAATAGATGGTGCAAGCAGCTTGTTGAAGACACACCGAAACAAAATTGAGAGCTATTGATCTTCTCTTCACCGAAAACTCAATGTTGGCTATAATTTGCATTCCTTCCTCTCAGAATTTCCATTCAACTTCTGAGTTTTCCTCCCTTGTTCTTCTGCATTGTTTTAAACTACAAACAAAGCATCTATAAGTGTGATTTGCTGCCGAACTTTGTATTCGCTGAAACACTGGGGTTTGAAGTACCGCTACACTAGTGTGTAATTCGTTATATCCTTGGAGGAAATAATCCATAACCTTGGGTACTAGGAGGAGATTAAATTCCTTAAGGAAACACTGTGAATTCAGTGGGCTCGAATTAATTTCTATTTTATTTATATTTACGTTTATAATCTAACGTTCTAATTTCCAAAATCATTATTTACAAATACAGGCATAATAATAACAAGCTTAAGGAATTTAATAATTTTAATTTCTGTATTTGTGTTACTTTTATTATTCTGGAAACTATAACCTTTGTGGTTTTTGTGTACTCCCGTTTGGAGAGTAAAGCCTTCGTGGCGGTTTGTTGGAGATTAAAATCTACGTGATTTTTACTCCAGTTTTAAAGCCTTCGTGGCGTTTTGTTGGAGATTAAAATCTACGTGATTTTTTACTCCAGTTTTAAACGTTAGTTTGTGTCATTTTTTCCAGAAAAAATGGTGAATGACAACGGAAATCAAGCTGTTCCGATGGTGACTGCCAACGCATCAACAAGCCGAACACCGACTTTAGCACCGGCAGAAAAACCTGGAAAATTTTCCGGGATTGATTTCAAGCGCTGGCAGCAGAAGATGTTCTTCTACCTGACTACGTTATGTCTACAGAAGTTCATCAAGGAAGATGTTCCTGATCTGCCAGATGAAACTCCAGAGAATGAAAGCTTTCTCGTGATTGAGGCGGGGAAACATTCTGATTTTTTGTGCAAGAATTATATTCTTAGCAAACTGGATGATAATCTGTATAATGTATACAGTGGCGTGGAGACATCAAAAGAATTGTGGAATGT